GGTCTCTAACGGCAGATGTAAAACAACTAATCCATGTGTTCCTGTTGATATACCATGCCGCTGTGATATACTTGTTATTATTCAAACTCATAGCATAACCTTTCTTCTCATGTAGTTTCATCTCTTTTTGATTATAATGCATTATCATACATTATTTCATTTGATCCAATTTATTTTGTTACAAAAGAGATTTGCAGGTGGTTTGCATATAATATATAATACAATAATATATTACACATTTACACTTATAAGTTTTTAATTTTTGTCCTAACAAAAAGTTTTTTTTACAGTTAATCGCATCGATGTTTGCCTGCTTTTTGGCGATTAAAACTTCCCGAAGTTCTTATCAAAGGATTCCTTGAAGTGAACTCATGAACAAATTATCTACAAAAACGACATATATAATCAAGTGATAATTAAAGTATAATCTGTTCGTTTTTGCATGTACGTATGTAGTAGATTAATATATATATATATGTATATAAAATATAATAAATTTATATAGTGATAAATGAAGTCGTTACAAAGATATTGACTAAAAGTCTGCTAACTTTTTACATATTTATACAAAATTGAGTATTAAATATAAAATAAAAAGCGTAATATTTCCATTTATAAAAAAAATAAATAATTTAATTTTATTTAAATCAGATTCACCTAATTCGATAGCAAATGAGTACGAGAAGTGACATGATTTAATCTTGGTTCCGGTAGTGCTTCTATTTCCTGTTCCATAAATCGAATTTCAGTGCGGTTTTTCAAGTATATCATTATACTCATAACAATTGCGTAAACAAAGACGATACCCTGTAAAATAAATTAGTACCAAGTAAAGCGGATCTTATACGACATTAAAACTCGTATAAGATCAGACGATCATATCATGTGAGTGTTTATAATAATCTCTACTTACTTCAACTATTATTAAAGTTACATTAAATAAATAATTCCGATGTGCCGCAGATTTGTAGAAAGCCTGCAAAGCTTCCAAACATCCACGCGTGTAGGGTTCTGTATTTTCCCTGGCGCTTGCATCATAATAGCAACTTTTCGGTGTTGCCATGCCCTTATATTTGTAATCATGGGAATTGTATAAAGCACAGCAGTGATACTATAAGTTATAAATAATCATTAAAAATAATCGCAGTACTATATATGATATTCACATCGCTTTCCAAAGTTTCCATATAATTTGGTTGACTTTCCACCATTTGCCAAGAGTTCTGTAAGTTTTCGAGTGAATTCTGAAAAAATGCAACAGGTCGATATGCACGCATTTGCAGGATTTGCATTATAAACAGCATTGACATAAAAAATGCATACTGAAAATTTGATTAGAGTAACTTTTGTTAAATATAATATTTTTTTCTTAAAGCATTTAGATATTTACAATTAAGTTCACTCCAATTTGTTCGCACACAATGCCATAGCAACCAAAGAATGTGACCATCCCTAAAAGAGAACCTAGTATTATGGCCACAATGAAGTAGCTGTGTTCATCTGTGCTTGGCCTTGCATATTCCAAACCTGTAATTCCAACTGATATGATGCCTAATCCAAGTATCTGCAATTTGAAAATAATATGATATCCGGTATAGTAAGTGAGATGCTTATTTGAGCAAATTCTTGAAAATAATATGATGGCTTTGTACCATCGCAAAACAGTCAAGAGTATAATCGCGAAAAGAGCTGATTCAAACAAACTACATAATTGATCGCGTTTAAATCTTAGGGTCGGGTTAAGCACACAGACCGGTATATGTGAAATTGTAGTGGATTTCTATGTAAATTACAACTTTGAGAATGAGAGAGAGTAAACTTTTGGTCAGAGGCATAGAAAGGCTTATTACAGTATTGCTCAGTAGTAAATGTAGGAACTAGATGATGACCAACACGAAACTGAGCACGTCTTACCTTATATATTTTATAAAGAATTCAAAATTATTTTTATGAAGAGATTTTTCGAACAGTAGTGAACTACAACAACAATAATTAATTTTATATTATTTTAATTAAATTTTTGGCTGACTATATAGCTGTTTCGAGTATTGCCAAATATCCAACACTTGTGGTCTTGGAAATAATTTGTGTATTTAATTATTCCTTAATAATGTTTTGAGACTGCAAGTACCAGGAATCGAACTAGTGTTTTGCCAAATTTGAAGCTCAGAGTCAGCGCTCCTTAACCAACTGGTTCAAAGCCGTACTTGGCTTTTATGTTTGCACATTTTTCTGGAGTTTTTTTAATTTTCCGTAAAAGTTTTGTTAACAAATTCACTTGCTGTGTTTATATTAGAACGAAATAATAAA